ATCTATTTAACTTTACACCAATAAGATAAATTAATATGATGTGAGGTGGATTATTATTTATGATTAGCTGATAATTCTAAAATATTCTTGGAAGACTTGTGATTCTTTGAATCACAATTTCTCAAGTGATTTGGCTTAGCAATGCTGAAATGAATCTTTAAGGACAGCACTGTAACAGTCTAAAGGCAAAAGAGCAGAACATCCATTACTCAAAACACCATTGCTCAAAAATAAAATAGCAATTTTCTCAAGTAAAATATGAGCTATGTCTCAAAGCAGTTAATAAATACAACATGAGATTCAATATGTAGTATTCATATACCTGCAAAGTAGGTAATTGCCCCAAGTGTTAATATTTTCAACAGTAATTGGAATTTTGCACTCTTCCACTCAGTTGCAGAGAAGCTGTATGTGCCTGGTTAACCCTGAAAAACACAGACCCCTGGGCTTGAAAAACACATTGCAGTTACCTACAACATCTGAGACCCAGCAGGGAGTGAAAGGCTCAAATGTGGGCTTAAAATCACCAAATCTACTCTTGCCCAGTCGGTCTGTAGAAAATTCCCATTTCTTAGCATGGCTGTGGCAGAGCCCAGCAGCCCTGTCTCTCTGCTGGCACGTGGGATGTGTAGCATCAGGATCTAATGAAAATCAAAGGGGAATTTGTTTTAGTTTGTAAAATCTGTCTGCAAATCTGATTTTGACCAGCAACAACTTCCGCTGTGAAATTTTCACATGATTTGTACCAGAGGAATATATACTTTTGTATATATAGAAACATTCACAGACATTCTTTTAGAGAATCACAATAATCAGTATGTGAGATTTCAGTGCTCTAGAGGCCTTCTGCTCTGATGGGGATGAATCAGACTCTACAAGCCATGGAGAATGAGAGCCCAGTACCTCATTTTTATAGGCATGTCTTGTTTCAAAAATAATCCAGGTTAAGAGATTGAGCAACAAAGGAGGCGCTCCAAGACCACAGTGACTAAAGGAATAAAAGGAGGGAACGGCAGGTCAGCCTCAGAGCTTGTTCCTGTGGCACAGAGAAACTGGATGAAGTTTCTTACAGCAAACAGCCAGGGCAGATCTGACACAGCGGATTCCAGTGGATTCAGAAACAACACAGCAAAGGGCAATGGCTTGCCCAGTCAGCTCTGGACTGTGGAGTACCTGAGCTCTCATCTGTGACACCCTGCTTCTCCCTAACCTGTCACCTCTGCTTTCCATCAGAGGTGGATGAAAACTCCTGGAGTGTTGCATTACTGAGGCTGCCCAAGCAGCAAATTCACCCCATTCCCTGGGACTGAGAGCACATCCTGCAACCCTTCCCTGTGTTCTGACACTCCCAAGCTTTGACACTGTGCCTTTGAAGTGAAGCCAAGCCACGCCTGAGGCCAGGAGGTGCTGGGAGAGGGCACCTCTCTCGCTGGAGCCTTGCATGTGGCATCTCCCCGGGCACAGCAGCTCCAACTCTGCACAGCTCAGAGCTCAGGCCAGTCTGGGGGAAGAGAGGAGCAGCATGGAAGGCTGGAGCAGCACAGCAAGCAGCAAGAGGTGGTGAACAAAGGGAGAACTCACTCCTGCTGAGGATGCTGTGGGAGGCAGAAAAGCCATGGTTATGGGTGTAGCGGGGAATGAATACGTTCTGCCAAGGAAAGAGGGTGTATTTCCAGACCTGCTTTTAGAGGCATTAGCTGGTTGATAAAAAATTCTGAGGGACGCTCACAGGGGCACTAAGCAACAATAATTAAAGCTCTACATTCCCAGAGTCTTTTCTTTTATGCTCTTGGTAATCCTAAAGCCAAGGAGACATGGGAATGTAGCACAATGAGCTCCATGGCTGACAGATTGTGTAAGTGTAAGAGTGTCCCAAAATTCAGAGCAAAGGAGCTCTGATTCCAAGCCTCTGAAGTGCTAAATCACCAAATGTTTACATCACAGCAAGTTCCACCAAAACTGCAGCCACTGATACTACAGGTTGTTTATAACAAACCAAAGCTGACAGAATAAAGGATGGAGGTTGAGGGATATCTGCAGTGCATGCCAAGTTTTTTTTAAATATTGTACACCTGCCATTTGTTCTGCAGGCTGATCGTGTTTTGTCTGTGAGGTAGAGAACTCATAGTTCCAAAGGGGATGTGGTTTATGTTCCTGAGTCTTAATGCTTTTTCCCTTCTGTAAGGCAGAACTCCTTACTACTGTCACTAAAATAAAGCCAAGAGGACAAAAGTCACACAAGCACTGCCACGATAACAGTTTCACTGTTCCTCTCACTGATCTTTGGAAACAGTCTCTTCAGCAGGATTTTACAGCTCTGGCACTTCAATTTAGCAAACTTTTTATGCAACTCATGAGGGGAATGCAGCCAACTCTGTATACTCAATTTAAATCAACTTGCTGATGATATAAAAAAGAGTGCTGAACCACCGGTTTGCTTCATCTGCTCCTAAACTACCAACACAAACTCTGAGGTATTTATTCCTGAAACGTTAATAGAACAGTCTGGGGCATCAGATCAGTACATGAACTCTGCTTTGATCCCATGTCAGCCCAAAGAGCTGATTTAACAACTCGTTGTTTGGTTACTTGATAGTTCAGAATGTAGCTGGGCTTTTTGCTCCCACCAGGTTGGGATACGGTGGGAGCAGAGAGGGCAGCACTGGGGGATCATCTGTCCTGGCAGTGCACCAAGAGATTGTACAAGCAATGTTCAGCAGCTTTCTAATTTTGCATCATCAAAGAAGGATGATCCTTCAGTAGCTTATAGAACCATAGAATGGTTTGGGTTGGAAGGGACCTTGATAGCTCACCTATCCAACTTCCTGCAATGAGCAGAGCCAGCTTCAATTAAATCAGGTGGCTCACACTGCAATTCTAAAGAAGCAAACTACATGTTCACATGAAAAAATACAAAAGAATTTGCACACCTGAGGAAATGCTTCCTTTTCCCTGTTTTTATGCCCTTTCTATCCAAGCAAGTGCATTTACCTGACAGCTGAATTCTGGGTGTGCACAAATGACCCCAGCAATTCACCTGGCACTTGGTGAGAACAGAATGTTGCAATGTGAATGTTTGTTCTCAGAAATTCAGCACCGAACTTCAGCAGAAGATAAATAACTGGGTGAAGCAGACTGAACACAAAGCAGGCATCTCTCATTCCTCTAACAAGATTAAAAAATCATTCATGCTTAAAGGTTAAAAACCATTAAAACAAAAAATCTCCACACTTGCATTGAAAGAACTGGAAGTCCTCTTTTTTACTTGTCTCCTTTCAAAGCACCAGAACCAAACCCTGCTTGTCAAATCTTTATATTGAAAGGGGCTGCAAAATGTGTGTTCCAAAAGGTTTTTCCTTGCATGGCCCTTTAGACACAGAGCTGGTTGCAGTGGAAAAGAACAAATCAGCCTGGGAAAAGGATAAGCTCACTGACCTTTAAACAAATTATCTCAGTTTAAATCACAGGAATAGAAATATTACAGAACACATAAAGAGTCTCCACTATCAGAGTTGCTCAGCCTCTTGGGCAGTTTAGGTATTAGTATTGTGCTGTAAATAGTAAAACAGTAGTAAATCTTAAAGTCTAGGCATTCAAATAGGAATAATACACAGAGCTGGCATTCTCTGTTTTCCAGCAACTGCTCCAGCATCTTTCTAATTCCTCTTAAAAGCAAAATTATCCACTTAAAATGAGGTACTAAATGATGTGCTTTTAAGGCCAGTGCTGTCCGCAGCTGTGCTGTGAGTGGAAAGATAAACCAGATGGCAAACTCAATAAAAGGGAGCCAGTTAAACAGCGACAGATGAAGGCTGAAAAAAACCCTCCGCTCCATTATTGCTTTCGAACGGGTTGTCATGGCACTGGAAATGGATACTACTGTCAGCCTCCCACCTCTGCCCAGCCAGCTCTGCCCAGCCTCACCCAAAGCGGGGAATTTGCACCGGTGGGAAAAGCACAGGCTGCTGCCACCACAGCTCCACCCCACCAAAGAGGGGGAGTTGCACCTTTTGTCACATCAAGTGCATCCAACAGGAAACACTGACCTTCGGTCTCAAATTCCAGTGTCAGAACACCGAAGTTCAGCTCATTTTAATGCTGTGCTCTGTCTGTAGCTCACAACTTACTGCCAAGAGCCAAGGACTACCCACTCAGCGCTGGGTCTCTGTATGGCTGGAGCTGCCATGGAACATGAGCTGACCTTTGTCAGATTTACACATTAATGCAGTTTCTATTCCCCTTGACAATGTCCATTAGCAAGGAACACTATTTGCTGAGCAGATGGAAAAGAGTAAAGGATTCAACTTCAAAATAGACCTGGAAAAACTGAGTTGTTCTGTCAGCCTCTGAATTCTTTCCCCTCCCACTCCCATTTGATTTTGAGAATCTACTCTGTTAAAATTGGTAAAATCTGCTAAAATAAATACTTTAGAATGTCACAGTGTAGTTGTATTACATTTCTCTTTTTAATAGAGCATATGAAATGCAAGTTTACAATGGATTTAGCAAGCTGTAAATCAGCACTTTTATTCAGTTTCGTTTCTGAGCTATTAATCCCTAATACAGAGGCAGAGTGCTGATTTGCTAGTCTAGGAACTCCCGAGAGAATAGTTCCAATAATCCCGATGACATGGAAAGGAAACATTACTGAATCACCTGAGTCCCTGCTAGACACATCCCATCACCCCATAACTCCATGTTCACAGAGCTTAAGAGCCTTAATTATGAAGGAAAAAAAAAATATAATTCCATTTTGGCTCCAGTGAGCTGCAGTTATGAAAAACAAGTGGGATTTTTTCAAATAATTGCAGGCAAGCCCTTAATGGGGTTATGTACTTTGTCAGGGGTATTTTGGGTAAGGAACCCCACGTGAGGTGCAGCACAGAGCCACCCTTCCCTTTGCTCCCGAGTCTGGTGCAGCCCCAGCAGCGCCAGCACAAGGAACGCAGAGCTCGGATCGTCAGCAGGACACAAAGAACACACACAGCACCACAGCCAAG